CAGCATCTCTTCTCTCTCCCAGATTCTCCTCTTCCTCTCCCTTTCTCCCCATCATCTCCTCCTCCTCTCCCCCCAGCATCTCCTACTCCTCTCCCCAGATTCTTCTCCTTCTCTCCCCCAGATTCGCCTCTTCTTTCCCCAAGCTTCGACTCTTCTCTCCACCCAGCATCTCCAATTCTCTCCACCCAGCATCTCCTCTTCTCTCCCCCAGCATCTCCCTTTCTCTCTCCCCAGCATCTCCTCTTCTCTCCCGCTGCATCTCCTCTTCTCTCCCCCAGATTTTCCTCTTCTCTCCCCTCAGCATCTTCCCCTCACTACCCCAGCATATCCCCCTTCCCCCTGTATATCCCCCTCTTCCTCCCAGCACATAAATACTGTTTACATTTTTTTTGATGCCGGTGGGGGTTTAAAGTCTACCAGGCTCCCTACCTGGTGGATCCGATTCCTTCCCGCTGCTGTGAGGGGGTGTGGGCGCGAGGGAGCACTGACTTACGTGCTATTCCAGCACTGCTCCGTCCGCTAATGCCGCCGGGAAACAGGAAATTACGTCAATCAGGCGGCGGCACCTGATTGATGTCATTTCCTGTCACCCGGCAGCATCAGCAGAGGGAGCAGTGCTGGAACACCACATCAGTCAGTGCTCCCTCACAGCTTTCTATCCTACCCACCAGTGCCATCTTAACAACATTATGGGCACCCGGGCAAACCAGTGCACTGGGGCCCTGCCTACACACAACTCACAGGAATAAAAATTTAAATTATAGATAAAATTAGGCTTATATTTGTTAGTATCTCCAACAAATGCAATACATACATAAAATACATACACACAGACTGCTGAACACATTCACACACAGACTGCTGAATACATACACACCGACACACACACAGACAGACTGCTGAATACACACAGTCCACTAAATACATACACACAGTCCGCTGCATACATGCACACAGTTCGCAGACATACATACAAACTGACATACAGACATACATACACATAAATACATACTGACATACATACATACATAATGGCATTCTTACTGATATACATACATACAGGCATACACACACACAGATAGATAGATAGATAGATACATTCACAGATACATACAGACATACTTACATACACACACACAGACATACATGCATACTGACATACATACTGATAGATAGATAGATACATGCATACACACATACATACTGACATACACACACACAGACATACATGCATACAGACATATATACATACTGACATAAACACACACTCACACACACAGATAGACACATACACACAGACATACTGACATACACACAGACATACATGCATACTGACATACATACTGACACACACACAGATATATATATACATACTGACATACACACACAGACATACATACAGACATATATACATACTGACATACATGCATACTGACATACACACATACTGACATACACACACAGACATACATACATACATACTGACATACACACACACACAGACATACATACATACATACTGACAAACAGACATATATACATACTGACATGCACACACACATACAGACACATACACACAGACATACTGACATACACACACACAGACATACATGCATACTGACATACACGCACACAGACATATATACTGACATACATACATACTGACAAACAGACATATATACATACTGACATACACACACACATACAGATAGATAGACACATACACACATACATACAGACATACTGACATACACACACACACATACATACTTGCAGACACACACACCTCATTTATCAGCCATCATCTTACCTTTAAGTTGCAGGATGGTGGCTGGGGATGATGGGAGCAGATGTCTCTGGTGTGGTGTCCTCCCCTGTCCTGTCCTTTCCTCTCCCTCTCCCCCCGCGCGGAGTAAGCTGGGAGGAAGTGACCGGCCGTCACTTCCTCCCAGCAGCACTTGCGGTGTAGCCGCAATTTTTTTAAAGGGGCCCGGTCGCGCCATTACAGCGCTGACCGGCCCCTGAAGATATAGGGCCCATCCGGTGGTCCTAAATGCTTGGGCCACCTGATGGGCCCCGGTGCATATGCACCGTTATGGTTATCCCCCCCTGATGGCGGCCCTGGCTGTGTATGTGTGTGAGGGGGTGCTGTGCATGTGTGTGAGAGGGGTGTTCTGTGTGTGGGGGGGGTGTGGGGAGGTGCTGTGTGTGGGTGCTGTGTGTGTGGCGGGGGTGCTGAGTGTGGGGGTGCTGTGTGTGCGTGGGGGCTGCTGTGTGTGTGTGGGGTGCTGTGTGGGGGGGTGCAGTGTGTGTGTGTGTGGGGTGGGTGCTGTGTGTGTGGGGAGGTGCTGCTGCAAATATATTAATAAACATGTGTCCTATAGTGTCCCTTTAATAAAAACTGCAATGATTTGGCTATTGCTAAAACTGTCTGGGCACAAATCTTTAAATCATATTCTTCACTGTAGTGACAACCTTTGCTTATAGTACTCCTAAAGAAATATCTCATATCTCTGTTTATGTTGGTTCATTAGAGGGTTACTCCAACCCTTGAAAATAGTATTGTTCTAGGTTACTTATGCCCATGTCATGTGTGCTTGGGGTGCAACTAGTCTGAAACACTACACATCCAGACTCCTACCATCATGGCCACTTGTAAAAGCAGAAGTGGTCATGGTGGTTGTAGTAATCCTTTAATCAAATTTTATGTACACCAATAAAGAACCAATAAAATACATAGTACTTTTGGTCCATATCAAGAGTTAAGCTTTACTAATTGACATGTTTATTTTCTTTATTCACATTTGGCTTTATATTGAGTTGGGACAGAGGGATGAAATTTACACTTTATAATTTAATAAGCAGAATAAATTGTTTTGATCTGCTTAGCTTTATAATAATATATTTTACTCAATCATCTTTATGCTTACTGTCTATTATAGATATCTTACTCCCTATATTTATCAACACCAAAAACATGATGAACACTGCGAAATTTGTGCCGCCGTCTGCTTCTCTCCCAAATAAGCCAGGAGAGCGCATTTTGGGAAATTTACTTATAGGAACAAGAGGGGTGAGCATTCGGTTGCCAGGGGTGAGCATTCGGTTTTATGCGCACAGGAACTCACAAAAGTCAAAACTTTACTACAGAATCTGATGGTGTTATATAAATAATAAAATAATAATAATAATGATTCTGAGCACTATTTGGACAACTTGGGCACTTGGATACGGGCTATCCGGGTATATAAGACTTGTTGGGTTCCTGTGGAAATTGAGTATGGTTTTAGGGTATTTTCTGTGTGGTTCTGTGAGTTACCGGTCTTTGACTTAATTATCTTCCAGACACTGGGACGTCTGGGAGGGGTTTGTATTTTTTTGTATGAAGACACCATGCTGGGGGTCTGCTTATAAAATGAGTGTGCCTTATCCTAAATAAACCACTCTACTCCCAGCATTAAGTCTTGGCTAATGTCTGGGGGGAAAAGCTACATAACTGTATACTGCTATAATCAGCGCTAAAGACAGCGCTGACTGAGATCCTGGGAAGGGGAAAGGACATCCTTGGGGTAAGACACTTGTCTCTACCTGAGTGGTCACCACACACATGGCAGCTGCACAGATCACCTACCAGTATGTAAAGCAATCATCCATGCCACCAGCTTATGAAAGGTAAGATTTCTGTCCAGCTGTCTTCTGATGCTTCTCCCACAGCACTGTAAGATAGAAGGTGAAAATTAAGCTTATCATATATAACAGCACCACTTAGCAATAGGTATGTTTTATTTTTTTAAGACAAATGGTTCAAAATTAGGAGGTAGGCCGGTGGACAGCGATCCAGCTGCAGTATTTCAGAATCACTGATTGATTCATGAGAAGGTCATCTCAACCTTTCATCCTTCCAAGATCAATAAAATGAGTTCCATTACATTAGGTAATAACTAGTCGAAAGACTAGATATTTGCAAACAGGTTCTTGAAAAAAACAAGGTTCTCATGTTGTTATGAATTGTTTACATTTTGTTTTTCTTTGTCTAGCATTTAAATAATATACATTTTGCTTTTATAATGTACCCAGGTAAGTTCCACTATACAGTATGTTCATTTATCCACTTTTTTGTCTGATAGCCACATCATGTAGATGTCATTATCTTACTGAGCCATTCTTTACCTGGAACGTTCACTTACTGAAACATTCTTCACCTGGAACGTCAGCTTAGTGACCGATATAGTCACACATTTATTCTATAATATGATTAGCAGATTTGACCATGATAAATATGACTGTGATATGCACATAAACAGGGGGGCTTCACACTAAAATTGTACAGTCGCAAGAATGTGTTTTTATCATCCTTGTACAAAGGTAAAGACACCTATTACCTTGAATTGAGATATTTAAATCCATGCAGCAATGTTTAGGATGTGAAATGTATTATTTACAGTTAACCTGGTCTATGTGGGCACACAGTGGGCATGTACAGTTACATTGTGGGCATGTACAGTTACATTGTTGACAAATCAGGTTCTGATTGGTTGCTGATTAACAGGTGATTTGCCCATCGTAACATTACCTGTCAATGAAGATTTGAAATGGTGATAACATTTCTTAATAATTACCTCCACACTTAAAAAAATGTAAAGACAAACTGTCACTTATGAGTTTGACAGCTGTGGCTACACATACAATGCTGAATCCTATAATTGCATTGATAATAGTTTTTGAAAATCAATCTTATTTAATACAATATTTATCGACCAATACTTCTTTTTAATTGGTAATTACATTGATTTGAACCAATAAAAGGTTTGTTGGGAGCCGATATACAGCCGATACACGTGATCAGTTGATTTGTAATCGAGGCCATAGTTTACAATATTGAACTAACTTTTGACTTAGATGGAAAGATAAACACAGCTACGGTATAAACGTTTTATCTGTATACAAAAATCTGATAGCCTCACATTTAAACCAGCTCTGTCTGCTAAGGTACAGTTAACTCATTGTGGGCCTTTCTGTTGTCATGGTATGGTCACAAATTATATGTGATTCACTGCTAGAAAAGCAAGCCAATGTCAATATTGTCCACAGAATAAAGCACACTTCATGCACCACATTAAATCCTAATATCTAAATGATAAAAAGATAAAGTCTATGCCAGGTGAATTTATTATACTTACCTTCTGTTTTAAAATACTTAAATTATATTTTACATTTGCGTGTTCCCAGAATAAATATTTTGAGTAAACCTTTGTAAACAATAAGATAATTATACTATTGCAGGGGAAGTAAGGGTGTATACGTGCAGCATATTGAATGATGAAGTTTAGCTGCCAAGTGTTTTGCTATTGAAGATCAAATGCTTTGTTTCCTTATTTAAATGCAAATATGCTCAATGAAATAATATATGGGAAGTTTGCATCACACCTTTAACAAGACCACGCTAAATCGAAATGGATGAGGATCATTCTTACAGCTCCTGTCCAAGAGGGTACCATGAAGACTGCAGTGAACATCTCCCTTATACAGAGCAACAATCCATGTTCTGCAAGAGAGGCGAGGGAGTAACTGCTTTGTGTGTATGTTTGCACAGACATCAATGAGTGCTCCCTCTTAGTCCTACTCTGTCCAATGATTTAGAATTACAGTACATATTGTTTTGACTCATGCTACTGCACAGATATTACACCTAAGTCAATACTCTATTTAAGCTAAATACCAATTTCAATTATATTTAAAGCCAAAAATGAAGAAGTAGGTAAACATGCAAAGCATACAGGTCCAGTAAAATAATCCAAGCTAATGTGAAATATTAAATTTGATTATATTAATATTGAATCAGTGGAGGTTCAACCTATGTCTCTCTTTGGATTGTAACCTACAAACCACATCTTCCAGTCTCTTGTTAAATGATCCATATTTCCACCAATATACAGAAAGGTATGATGTCATCCATCATATCTCATGCAAAGATTGCTGCTAACCTGCTCAAATTTAACTCAAACCAACCTGAGCAGAAAAATTAAATCCAGATTTAACTCATTATGTTTCAGCTCCCAAAAAGTAGCAGGCCTTCAGCCAATGATAAGTAACCTTCCACATCTCCTACCTTGTTAACAAGAAAAAAGAATGACGAGTAAAAGCATTATGTAAGTTCTAACAGGAAAGTGAGAGAATGAGAGATAGTCACGTATCTATCATCAGGGAAAAACTGAATTTGAGCGGCACGTTTGCTAACAATTTTGTGTAACTATAGTTTGTCAATGCTAAAAGGTTAAAAAAATGGCATTGGCAGTTTTACAACCTGGAAAATTAATTTTATTGTGAATTTATCATTGCATCTATTTAATGAACCTAATATAAAATATGACTTATTGTAACACAAAAGGTTAAATAAACATAAAACCTCCGGACATTTGTAGATTGGTTTCATAACTATGCACCCCCACTGCAATGAAACTTTTAAATAAGCAATGGTGCAAACAATTTCCTTCAGAAGTTGCACAATTACTAAACTGTCACATGATCTGGAAGACCCCAGACTTTGTAAGAGTAAATGTCTCCACAAGCATAACAAAGACCAAAGAGCTATCAAAACATATCTGGGATATTGTTCCAGAGAATCATGAATCCGGATTGTGTTATACAACCTATATTCAAACCTTGAGCAATCCGTGGAGCAATGTCAAACCTGTCAAAAAAATTGAGTATTATCAACCATCCACTAATAAAAAAACAAAAAATCAAGCAGTCTGATTGAGAAAAATGGACAAAACACACTCAAGATTGGCAGATGACATTAAAGAAACCATGCTTGGGACTACTAAGGCCTGGATGCTCTACAAAGCTGGGCTTCATGGATGCGCTGTAAAATACCCAGATGAAACCCAGTTGGGATTTTGCCAAAAGACATATTGGAGATACAAAAAACATGTGATAGAATCTGAATTTTTGGGCCTGTGCTATGTGTAACACTGCTAATCATCCAGCGAGCTCCAACCCCACCATGAGCCATGCTTGTAGTAGTAGCATCATGTTACAGAGATAACAATACACAGCCAAGGCAACAAAGGAGCAGTTTAAAACCAAGAGCCAGAATGTCATATATTGTCCCCGTTAAAGTCTACTAAGAATTTATAGAAAGTCTTAAAATGACTTCATTTTAAATGAAAAATCTAGAAATCTGGCAGTAATAAAGTACTTGACGATGCTCTATATGTGTAATATTTTTAAACATTCCCTTTTGGAAATTATGTTATTCCAAATATATTCATAGTTCAATTTTTTATGCCTACTCCATAATTGTAAATGTGCCTATGTCCATAGAACAGTCAGGTGCTAATAACAGTGATGTAACATGAGACTCGAAAGGCTGCAATATCCTAATCTTGGGTATTTGGAAATCATTAGAAACATTGTAAGCTGATTTCCTGCCTTAAGAAAGAGCACTGTTTATATTTCTTACCGCACTGGATCCTCTCAGGAAAGACAGGAGATTTCGACATACTGGCAGGAGGATGAGTAGACAGTTGAAATTCAAGCAGGCAGCTGGAGCTCTCGCCAATGCCAGGAATGACTGTAGCAAAGTAGTAGTACAAACATTAATAAAAGCACACACACACACAGGGAGTGCAACAGTATTCGTCTCTGAGAACTAATCTCACAAAATATTTTTTTTTTTAATTGGAAAAGCAAAGAATATGGGCAGATGATAATAATCAATGCTCACTTATTATCACCACAAGAACAGACAGTAGTAATCCGTTGTATAACAGATTATCATTCTTTGTCATTAATATCCATTATTTTTAACAGCACTGTAGTGCCAATATAGTTTTAACCCGGTGAACAGATGGAAACCAGTGAGCACCCCCCTACACTCCCTAATCATTATGTGGAAGACAACATGATTTAACAAAACTCTACTTAATTTCACAGGATGTCATCATTTAAAAAAAAAAATTATAATAAAAAGTTGCATAACATGTTTACAAATGTACTAAATATATCTGTACTTTATGGGTAATTTCAAAGAGTTTAAACATGCTTTCTTCGTAGCACTACAAGGTATTCTTAAATACACATCATAATGTTATAAATATTTTTACTATAAAGCTGAGGTCCTAATCTCAAATGGCATCTGTATCCCAGCATGTCAAAGTCATTCTGTAAAGAGGGTCACATGCACACATACAATATGTATACATAGGTCAAAATGTCAAGAGAGGTGTGACTATGGACATATCTATTGGTTAATGAAAGAAAAAAAGAGAAGAGAGAGTAAAAAATTCAGGGCATGTGCAAAGATGTGAATGAGGTCTGACAAGGAACCCAAGTGGTCTCAGGTATAGCGTCCGCATGGCATTTACACTACACTTTCTGGGGCAGTTCCCTTAAAACATGGACTGTCCCATCAAAATTGGAGGCCTGTGTCTGTTGTAATGTCAGGACCATAATTAATTTTGTAGTATCGCCTGAGCTGCTGTCCCTTCGATCTGCCCAGCACCAGGCTCCAGGCTTCAGTTAACGCTGGAGGCTGTGTGTAGGTGGTTGGAATATAACACGTCTGCTCCCAGCCTAGTGACCTGGAGCCGGATCTCTATAGCTCTTCTGAGTGCATTGGCAGTGTGGACCGAGAGGTAGGGAGTAAAAGCAGTATATTATACCAGTTCCCTCTATGTCTATGCAAAGCCTGCTTGCAGTGATGAGACCTGATAGACAACGTGCACAGAGTCTCAATGAAATCCCGCTTAGCCTCAATATCAGCCTGCACCGCACTGTAGGATAGGCGATATAGAGTCTATGGGCAGGCACACTAATGTTGATGGGTTATGAGCAGAGACACTAATGGGGATGGATTAGGGGCAGACATCCTAATGTTGGTAGATTTGGGGTAGGGGTGAGTAACGACAGGAACACTAATGTGGGAGACAGACACATAAATGGGGTTGGTTAGGTGCAGGATCATTAGCATAAGGGTTATGGCAAATACACTATTGGGGATTTGTGGAAAACGGAGAGATATACAATAGGCAAAGAGGTACAATAGGCACAGACATAGGATGATATGGAATACAATTGAGACTTGCAACAGGGGAAGAATGGAAGAGAAGCAAGAGTGTTATACGGATGTAAAAGCAAAGATGATGTAGAAATATATAAGTGGGGAATAGTGGGGAAATGTACAAGGGGTGGAGAGGTCCATGTGAGGGAAGACTGACAGAGATCAGCATTCCAACATCTGAATTTTAGGTTTGGCATTCTGACCTGCACTTATGGGCTGGATTAGTCTGATATACAAATGGTATAGATTCTCTCTGTAATGGCACAGGTGGGCAAAAGCATTTTGAAACCTGAAGGGCAAGCAATTGAAGTTTCTTTGAGCATTTGCCTTTTTTTAGGTTTCCTATATTCTCTGTGTCTTTTTTAATCAATTGGGACTGTCATGCAAAGGTTTATGGGGGTTATGGAATATTTGGCCTCATATTTAAGCTTTGCCCAAGGTCTTACAAAATATAGATCCATCTCTGCCCATCACACACATGAAGTCACACCATTCCGTATGTAATCCACCATATAAAATTCCCACAATAAATAGGGCCACTTGCACACAGGTTGTAGAAATACGTAAAGGAGCCCTTTGGCAAAACAATGGAAAATTGTATTTATGGAGGAAAAGGTTATTGGTGGAGAAAAATAGAAACTGGTAAAAAAAAAAATAGGATTAAATTGAGTGTTGGAGATGAGAATACGAGGAACTTGTAAAGACATGCTGGGAAGGAAACTGGAACATTCAAATCTGGGAAGCAGAGACTGAAGAGTGACAGAGGAAAATAGCTATTAGGGACTGGGAAGCAGAGGCAAGTACAGCATCAGACAAAGACTGCAAGAAACTGGAAAAATACACTAGAAGAATAGGGCCTGAAGGGAGATGTGTGTTCTTGTTTCATATAGTACGCAATATTATACAAATGCCTTTTCCTTAAACGATAGACAATTAACATTGATACTTACCCCGTAAAGTTGCCTGGAATAAACATATCGCTCACCAACATCATATACTTGATAGAAATTCCAAAACAGATAGGCATTCAGTGCCAGCCACACAAGCTGCAAGAGACAGACAAAAACTCTCAATTTACAGAGAATGGAGAAAAGTTTCAGAAGAAGGCCTAATGCATGAGTAGGCAACCATCAGCACTCCATATGTTGTGGACTACATCTCCCCTGAAGCTTGGCTAGAATTATGGCTGTAACAGCATTATGGGACTTGTTGTCTATAACATCTGGTGTACCGGTAGGTTGCCTACCCCTGCCCTAATGGGCTATGTATCCAGAGACCAAAATGATGACAACTAGTAAATTAATATTCAGATCAGGTATGCAAGAGTGAGACTTTTCTTCAAGCAGGTGGAAAATGTTTTCATAGGAGCAGGTTGGGGTATTACTAGGGGAGAGTTGAACTAGGCAGGAGTCCAATGTACTCACACTTTCATTTTTAGTACGGAGTCCCCATTGATATTCACAGAGAAATAACCAATTACACAATTTGTTACACTGTTATATTAATAAAGCATATTTGGAGTTAAAGGAACACCACAGGCACCCAAACCACTTAATCTCAACAAAGTTGTCTGGGTGCCATGCCTCCCCCCCATTTTATCACGGTCGATGAAAACATTACCAATATGCAGAACAGTAATGTATTCATTGCAGGGTTTAAACGTTTCGAGTAACTAGAGGTGCTTCCTCTGAAATATCAGAGTAAAACTCTTCTATTTTTATCAGATGGTCTCAGAGAGACCATTTGATTGGCGCAGTGCGGCATTTTGCTGCGTATGCACAGTAGCCTCCCAATGCTTTCCTATGGGAAAGCATAGGACTGGCTGAGTTCATCAATCTCAATGATCTCACCCAAGGAGGTGGGGCAGCAGCAAAAACTGGCACTGCGACGGATCAAAGTTAAATAAAACAAAATGTATTTGTGTTTCTTATGTTATAGTGTTCCTTTAATTATACTGCACAGTGCAGGATTTAAATGCAGAGTGTGCAGATTTAACACTGCAAATCTGGGGTTAATGCTGCAGGTGCAGTTTTGATGCAGCAAGGTGAGTGGTTAATACAGAGGTGTGGAGTTTATAAATAAAGGTTTATATACTACTCTGAATCCATTCAAAGATTTTATTTAACCCGTTAACGCTGTTACGGCGTTCTATGCCATCCCGCGTTAAGTGGGCTTTAAAGCCGTTGCGACGGCATAGAACGCCGTAATGGTTTTGAGCCCCTGGAGGTCCGCGGTACTCACCTCTGCCGCGATCCTCTTCTGGAGGGCTGTCTGACAGCCCAGGCAGCCCTCCCCCGGCAAATGAGGCCCCAGGGGGCCATGTGATCGCTCTCAAAGAGCGATCACATGGCCCCCTATAGCTGGCTGTGGATCTGCCAGCAGGGGGACTGTCTGAAATGTCAGATAGTCCCACTGCTGGTGGGAAAGTAAAAAAAAAAAAAAAATGATTAGACATGTTATAAAATAAAATAGATATATATATATATATATATATATATATATATATATATATATAATATATGTATATATTATATATATAATATATACACATATTACATATATGTAACGTCATACAAAGTGTATTTTAATATTAATATAAGTACACATATTAGTATTAAAATACACTTAGAATGACGTTACATATATATAATATATATATATTTATTATATATATTTATAATAGATATATACACATATTATATATATATATACACGTTTTTTGCATTTATTACAAATGAACTGCACTTTTATGGACTATATTATTGTTGTGTTTTACTGTTTTAAAACACTAATATTTGTGTTTAGTAAAGTCTCCCCATGTACAGGTTTTATCGTGTTTTGGAAAGTTAGAGAGTCACATATAAGGCTTGCATTTCATTTTTTTGAAATTGAAATTTGCCAGATTGGTTATGTTGCCTTTGAGAGCGTATGGTAGCCCAGGAATGAGAATTACCCCCATGATGGCATACCATTTGCAAAAGTAGACAACCCAAGGTATTGCAAGTAGGGTATGTCCAGTCTTTCTTAGTAGCCAGTTAGTCACAAACACTGGCCAAATATTAGTTTTTTGCTTTTTTCACACAAAAACAAATATGAATGCTAACTTTGGCCAGTGTTTGTGACTAAGTGGCTACTAAAAAAGACTAAACATACCCCACTTTCAATACCTTGGGCTGTCTACTTTTTCAAATTGTATGCCATTATGGGGGTAATTCTCATTCCTGGGCAACCACACCGTCTCAAAGTAACATTACTAATCTGGCAAATTTCAATTTGAAAATGGAACGTTCTATATTTGACCCTGTAACTTTCCAAAACACCATAAAACCTGTTAATGGGGGGTACTGTTGTACTCTTGAGATATCGCTGATTACAAATATGTGCATTTATTTGCAGTAAAACCTAACAGTATTATGATATTCACAGCTAAAATGTCAGACGGAAATACACATTTAAAAAAAAATATTTTCTCACAGTTTTTTAAATTTTATTCATAATACATTATGTTTCACATATAAATATTTGATATGAAATGAAAGCCCTGTTTCTCCTGAACAAAATGATATATAATAAGTGTGGGTGCATTTAATATGAAAGAGATATATTACGGTTGAACAGACATATAGCGCAAATTCCAGTTTTTGTTTACGTTTTGTTTTGATCAGAACATGCACTATTGACTCCGTCCTGAAGGGGTTAAGTCTACTGTATGACTTGTGAGATTCAGTGAAACAATCACAGTTACATTACCGACTTTCAAATTAGTAGATTAAGTATATAGTAATAATGCATAGAATTCATCTTTATAATACCATTATTGTACTTTAAAAGCATTATTTAGTAAACTTTTAAAAAGGAAAACACATGATAAAACATATTTGACCTATTCCCTGGTTACACCTTTGTAAACACCTGCTAATTAATTGCTCTCTGTGATTAAGGAAGTTATGTTCAGTTTACAACATTAATGAAACCGTTATGACAGTATAATTTTTAAATAATACGATCACCGCTGTTTGACTTTCATGTTTATTTACTATAAAGGAGAACTGGACTTCTAAATAAAACACAAAGGTGATTAGACAAAGGGTTCTTTAGGGCCTTTCCCACCATGCATTGGGTGGAATGATTTCAGATTTTAATCATTCAGCAGATCACTTTAACCAAATACAGTCATTCTCAGCAGAGTTGAAAATATTCTCTAACTTGGCTGCTGTGACCCAATAGGGCAAGTCACCTCATCACAAATAATATCTAGTGATAATTTGCTTGTTTTAAGCACTTCAAAAAATTGGAATTTAAAACAGCAAATGATGCTCAGTTTTTTGGCAATTATTGATAGTATTCAAAAATTATCTTTTTTAAACATTTTTGTCATTATATAAATCATACATAATCACATAGAAATTTGGGGTTTGAGGGAGTAGGCAATATAATATGTTTCATTTACACTCTTCTACATAGATGATTATATCATTTATCTTTTGGTCATACAAATATGTTTCTATTCCATGCGTAATGCATTGCAGAAAATCTAAAATGCAAATGGAATTATTATTATTTACAGAGCAGACAGTAAATATCGTATGAATAGATCTACTCCAGACATTGTGGACTACATCTACCCATAATACTACATTACAGACATAATGCTGGCAACACATCAAAGATGTAGTCCACAATAGTTGGAGTACTGAAAGTTGCCTACCCATGATTTTAATTAGATATACTGTACTTAATATCCTGCAAGCAGTAACAAAGTAGGTAAACAATGTATTGCACTTACTATGACTATGATAGAAAGACCTTCATTGACCATCCAATTGCTCATTTTGGAGATGCTCTGGGTCTTCTCTGCACCAAGCTACTATCCCTTCTGTTGTGATTGCAGTGCAGCTGTTAGGAGATATATATTTGAGGAAGTGAAAAATCGGTACTTAACCAACAAACTGCTTCTGCTTTTTTTCTATGTACTGTCTCCGTGATTCAAATAACTATATTTACTGGTGTTTCAAAAAGTCAAAGCAGGTTTATATTAAAAAAGAGCACTCTCTTAAAACAAATTTGAATTTTATAGCATCTGGCTTTACCCCTAGACTACTAATAAACTTTATTCTAAAAACCATGAACAAGGTTGTTTTCTAACGTGATTGTCAGGAATTCCAAGTGAATTTTCAAATTAAGACCAAAGCGGCCAAACTCAAAGAATACCTGACTGGGAGATTTTTTTTCTAGTTCTGCTCTTCTGAACTTAAGTTTAAAATGTTATATCTGACAACGTTAAGCTATTATTGAAGTGATGACATAATATATACGTAATTACATAATATACATATGTGAAAATTTAAATAAAGATTAAAAAGATATATAAACATTCTCACTTTAGCATAAGCCTGATAAAATTGAATTAACATGACGACGAGTGGCTAGCACACAAATTTTACTTATCATTAAGTTATGTAACAATGAAATACCGCTTTTACCGCTGTATAGTGATGTACCGAACGGTTCGCCGGCGAACGGTTCCCGGCTAACATAGCATGTTCGCGTTCGCCACGGCGGGCGAACATATGCGCGGTTCGACCCGCCCCCTATTCGTCATCATTGAGTAAACTTTGACCCTGTACCTCACAGTCAGCAGACACATTCCAGCCAATTAGCAGCACAGCCTCCCTAGCAGACCTCCCACCTACTGGACAGCATCCATTTTAGATTCATTCTCAAGCTGCATGCTTAGTAAGAGGAGGGAAAGTGTAGCTGCTGTTCATAAGATAGGGAAAAGCATAGCTAGGTTAGGGATAAGGGTATGCTTTTTTTGGATTTTTTTTTTCTATGTAATGTAAATGCACTTAGTTGTCTGCCACTGCTGCCAGCTTCTGTGTCAGGCTCACAGTGC